GGGTAAAACCCCCCCCTGGGCCTATCAAATGCCAGCCACTGGCCCAAGAGGAACCAGCTGCATGCAGCCAGGGAGAGAATAAGTGATGCCAAGCAAAAATTGATGGCAGGCCTTTTCCACCTCTCAGTTTTCCACTGTCCTGAAGTAGATCTGGGGGTGGTTGTGTTCCCCTGTCCTTTTGCATACCAGACCCCCTGGCCCACGTCTGTGGTGGTGGCTATGCTTGGAGTCCATCAGGGTGGCTTTGTGGGCTGAAAGAGTTGCAGGGATTTGCAGCACCTCTCGCCCTGGCCCACTTGTGCTGTCCAGGAGCCTGGACAGAGTGACCCCCAGCAAGGAAAGCCTCATCTGGGGAATCTCTTGGGGCAAGGATGCCACGAGCCAGGTGAGGTCTTAGCCCTATGCTCCCATTCCTCACACAGCCAGGCCCTGGGTACCAAGAGCCCCTGCAGCTGTAAGCATTACTGGGGCAATGGGCTGCCTTATCTGCTAGGAAAAAAATGCTTTTTTTTAAAATGCAATGCCAGAAACCCCTCAAGACTGTACAAATTCTAGTCTGTATTTCAAACAGTTAATTTTCAGCTTGACCTGTACGTGTCATCCCAGCTGTCATGCTTACAGCCTTAGGGAAGCATCTCATGTGATGCCTGGATTAATCCTTGCAGTGTTGGCAGAGAGTAGTCCACTTGTCTTCCTCAACAATGCATTCCTTAGAGAAATCCAGTGAAATTTCATGAAACAAAGAAGGCTTGTTTCCTACTGGCAAGGGTCAGATCAAGTGTTTGCTCTGCATGCACAGTGTGCAGCTTTCAAATGTACTCTGCCCAAGCTGCCCAGGAGCTCAAAAAGAAACTGAAACAACAGATTTTGGCCAGGCCACCATCCTGTAACAGGGGCTTCACAGTTGGCTTTCTGAGCCTGTGACTAGGGACAGCAGGATCCAGCATTTTGGAAAGGAGGTCTGGCTTCACTACATGAATCTTAAGTCTTGCTCCCTGCCACCTCTTTGCATGGGAGAACAGAGCATTCACGTCAGCATAACTCAATTTTCTTCGTATCTCATGCAAAAAAGCTCTGCTCAAATCCAGGTTTAGCAATGGAAGATGGTGGTAACTAATGCCAAATTAGTTACCACCATCAGAAACACCTCAACATCCCCAGCTGAACCTGTGTATAAACCTTTTATAACCAGATACCTTCAATAAATGAGGAGCCCTCAAGTCAGGGTCTTTTTGTGCTAACAACTTGTCAGGCACAGAAGAAAATTCAGCCTTTGTACTGAGTGCTTAATTTTATTCAGTACTTATATTAAAAAGCAATAAGCAAAAGGGATGAGGAAGATAAGGCAAGGAATAATGAGACCTTGACATGCACTGGGAAGTTAACAGCATGGTAGGAGCAGGGGTGAGAGGGGAGGAAAAAGAAGCAAGAAAGGAAAAAGTCATATGGAAAAGACATAAGAGACTTCATCCCCATCACCAGTAGAGGGGTTCCTACTAGACTTTCATCCCCATCCTAGTAGATGGATTTCAGCCTCCTAGGCTACTAGGCAAGTCATCTGACTGCAACTGCTCAAACCCCACATTTTATCTATTCTATTTAGACGCTCACACACATGCAGAAAACTTCCTTAAACTCAACAAGCTTGCACAACTATGTCTGAGGACAAAATGCAGCCCTCACCGACTTCATACAGAAAGAGGAGGAAAGAGAGAAGCCATCTTTCTGAAACTATAGTTTCTGAAAACTGAAAAAAAAAATAGAAAAAAAGACGACAGTCATTCAAACTTGACAGACTCTTCAGAACAGCAGGAGTTCAATTAATTTCTGCATTACAGCCTGTGTCTAATACACTTATTTCAGAAAGAAGAAGAAAAAATCTGCTTGGATGCATACCAGGTGATACAGGGCAGAAGAGGTGATCCAAGTGTTATTCTAGGAAATGAAAACAGATCTCACTACCAGTGACGCAGCTGGGTCACTGATGAGTTTCCTCAGCTAGGTGTGATTTTGTTACAATATGCTTTTTTGTGTCATAGTTCTTGAGCCTGAGATAGAAAATCTCTTAAAATACATGAGCTGCTGTGAGAATTTTAATATCTCCTTAGTTTTTACCAGCTAGCTGTAAACTGCCAAAACAAATAAAAATTAAATTTAAAACACACATGAAAATAAAAACAAACTACCAAAATAAAGAAACAAAATAAGGAAAATCTCTTTGCTTTGTAACATAAGGCATTTAATGGAAATTGTGCGAAAAATTGTGCGTGGGTTCAGGGATGCTGGACAGCAAAGGACTGCGATTCTTGTTATCTTGAACTTGTCACAAACAAAGGGCAGTGGTGGGTCGGTCTCAAGAAATGCCTTTGCTGTTTCCTCTGACTTTATTACGTGTGGTGGACTATTCCAGCTGAAGTGGCTGGCTGCCTGATTTCATGTTCAAGGTAGGTTCTAGTGCAATCTTGTTAAAAAAGTTTGCCCGTGGTTGGTAAGTCTGATGGAGTTATTAAAAAAAATAACATTATCAGTCAAGTGGAAGTGATCTCCAGAGTATATTCATTTAGTTATTTAATCGGAATTTGGTGCAAGCATTCAGTCTCAGGCATTAAAGGACACCTAAGTCAGAACTGTGGTTATGCTTAGCTGATTAATTCAGCTTGATGTCAATGAATATCTGTGGGCTTCTGTGCCAGGGCATGGGGAGAAAGTAATAAAAACAAGAAAAACTGCATTTCTTACTCATACCCTGCAAACTCAAATTAGCTATTTTTTAGTCTCAATCTACAAAACATGCGGATTTGTTATTAACAACTGGAAAATGAATCCACTTGTGAGCTATGGGATCCAGAAACAAAATAATGTTTATTTATACTCAATGGTAAATATTTTTATAGTATGTTCCTGGGAAGGAGGACTACAGAGTTGAATTATCTGCTTCATACTCCAAAATTAGAATAGAACATAAACAGGACACCAAGGCACAGGAAATTCAGCACACAAACAAGCAAACAAGAACTTTGTTTCTGAGCTTTGCATTAACCCCAGTGCTGGCCAAATAGGTTGCATGATAACACTGGAAACAGCATAATGACAGGAACCCATAAAGTCTGCACAATTTTTTTACCAAAAACCCATGTGTACATTTGAAACCAAATTGCTATGGATCCATTCTCTTTCCATGAAAAAACCTTCTCAGGTGTCACTTCAGGGCAGTTGTTCAGGGATGCGCAGTTTCATCGGAGTTCTGTACACTTGCAGCTACATGGTCTGGATATACATGGTGTAATTCAGTCGCTACGCTCTCCCAGCACAGCTCACGCTACATAGGTTGACACTTGCAAGAGGGTTTAGCATGATGTTGGGAACAACATGTTCAGTTGGTGCTGAGGTTGTTGGTTGAGTACACACTACTGAGTAACCAAGCACATAGCTGAGCAGTGACAGACACACTAGGAGGAAATTAAATAATCTAACGCCGTATCAGACAGTAGAGCTCTCAGGGCATGAAGATTTCTGTGCTCTCTTGCTCCTTATCTTTGCAAATACATCTGTCATCAATGAGGAACCAAGGAGTCTTTCAAGGCCTTCCCTGTGAGTTTTGGACATTTGTTTTACCTTCGCTGCTAGATTTTATTTTATTCTTTACCCACCCTTTATAGTTAACTCATTAAAATGCCTTGCTGCAGCCACACACACAGAGGTGTTCCTAGCACTTGTATAAAACAGAGATACCTCACACCTCTTCACAGCAGGATGTAGAAGTGTTTCCAAATACAACCGATGGGCAGGAAGTCAAATACTGGGAGGGAAAGCTTTCTCTCCAATAACACGGAGAAACACACTGGATGTAGAAGACAGTTATTCCTCACCGGCACATAGGGGAAGCTCCTGTCACCTTTCCTGAGGTCCTCACCTTTGGTGATGCTGTTGGAACAGCAGCGGATATGGGACTTGCTTGGATGGGAGAGGATGCTCAGGGACTCATCTGCTTTGGAGGGAACACAGGGATGGGGGAAATGCAGATAGGTCCTTGGGGAGTCCCCTGAACAATGTGTTCACTTTGCTTTTGTGTGTGACACCCAGCAAAAAGTAATGGAAACCAAAAGAAAAGGCATTTCTGACTCAAGAGGCATCAATCTGGCTTCCTAGGACCAGGTATTTTCTGTAAATTTTCATGTGCAAAAAGAAAAAGAATTAGCTCATTCCTTTTGAAGACTACATTAAGATATTTAGAAATTCCCTATGTAGTATTTCAGAAGTAAGGGCTCAGTCCATCACTTGGAGAATTTTTTATCCAACAGACCACACCCTTCAACACAGTAAACCACTCATTTTTATTTTAATCACAGAGACATTAATTTGAAAGATAAAATAGAATTATTGCTTTGTAAATGTTCCTCCCTTTGACTTTAAATTACACTCCTCACATAACAGATTACTTTATCTTGGAAATCTCTGCATTTTATAAATAAGCACAGATCCATTATTGTTTCAATGAGAAATTTAGCATTAAAAACAATACTCAAAATAATTAGAATATTGTATAGTCACATTTCCAGATGCCATGGTAAGATCAATTTTTTACATTTCCTTTCCAGACATGACCTATTACTTCTCCCCACAATAAATCTTCCTCCCTTTTAATAAACCTTGAAAAATTTATTGATGCCTTATTCATATTTTCTCTCCAGCTCACAAAATTTCGAGGCATTAGATAAATGGTCTTAGAAGGATGTGAGAAGAGAATTAGAGGAGAAAAATGATATAATGATTGTACCAAACAACTCGTGATGTGAACATTGAAATTACTTCTTGATCATTTAAGAGGTGTTAGGATTACAAAGTTATTCTAAAGCATTGTAAGAGGCTTGTAGCTAAAGCCAGCACAGCTTCTTACAAATGGCACATACGTGACCGTCGGCAGTGAAGCATTTTCGTGGCTCAGAATGTGTGACATTTGTCCTGTAGTCATTTAGTGGATAGTGCTGACCTTCGATCTCACATTATCCCATGTGAAAGCAGTTTCTTCAGTGGGGTCCCACAAGAAAACCAGCAAGAACAAAACCGATAACTGCCAGGATAGCGACAGCAGCAACGACCGGCACGAGGGGATTATCAGCCGCAGCGGGAACTGCCTGGGGAGGGGGCGCAGAAGAGTCCAGCCCTGCGAGTGAAGGCAGAGGGGGGTTGGTCTCAATATATTAAAGATCAAGGCACAAAGAGCTGCTGCATTTAAAGGGATGGTTCCCAGATCAAAGTCAGAAATAAGCTAACATCTTACATATTCATTGATTTAAACTCTTTGACCAGGCTTTATATTAGCAGGGATGACAACTTAACTAAGCAAACTTCATAAGCAGAAGACAACTGAGGGAGTTAAATGTTTCTCAAGAAGGCTGGGAGCTCCCAGTTGGCCATCACGTTATACAAGCAAACTGGAGCTAATTAGTTCACTGGAGTTACAGCACTAAAATAGGTTACATGCTACCTCCCCTTTGGGACAGCCAAAGCAGTTACACTTTTTATGTGTGCAGGTGAAAGCAGGGGGGTTGCAAGGTGTTGAAAGAATAAGAGATCTGTAGACATTTGGGTCAGCCAAACAATCCTTTCCTTTTTATGGCAAAATTAGCAAAAGTGGATTTCAGTGACAGGTGTCAGAAATGTAGAACTTTTCTGTTTTTCTTGAAGCCCAAAGTAGTCTTAGAGTAACTATGAGAGAAATTTATTTGACTTTACCAGTATTCCTGCTCTGAGCAACCCCTTCTCGAAGCTGAAGTGGTCCAACAACCACGCTCACTTCTTCCTCCGCAGAACTTGTATCTCTCTTGGACCTATGAGTGCAGCCCTGGTAGCAGCGGGAGGAATAGTCACCGAGCCTGCAGACTACCAGCTCACACTGCAGGTAGACTAACGCATGGTGGTTAATGAACTCAAAGGCATTAAATTTGAACCGAGCAAAGTGGCTGTTGGGGGAGTGGTATGTGGCATAGGAAGAATCTCTAGCACATCTAGAAAGAAACGTAAAAGAGAATTAGTCTTCATGGAAGCACATGTGTACATTCCTGCAAAAATATAAAAGATAAAACCACAATTATATCATAGCTAGGTACTAAGAATGTAATGGGATAAAAATGCAACTTTAAGTCCTATAAAGCAGCACTGGCAACTCTTTTTCTTTTCCAAAAGAAGGAGACTATAGGTGGTGAAGAGGGGAGAGCAGACTCTTACTAATGTCTGTCTGTCTATATGAGGCATAAAAAATGAGTCTGATGCTTGACCTGGTTTTACTGAAATATTTAATGCCTAGGACAATAGATTCCTG